GATGACAGACTTGATGAAGGTCTGGCGGTTCTCGGGAGTGGAAACCATAGTGGAAAACCTATGGAAGCAGAGCAGGACAGAGTTGAGGTTTGGTTGGTGCCTCTTCTGCCCCCTCACTCCCTTCCTAGGGAACCATTATGGGAAGGCGATGGTTTGAACTTACTTGTCTGTCCCAAAATTCCATCCTCCAATAGAGAGCAGAGTCTTCAGATTTTTGTTTCTGCAGAGGGAAAAAAAGAACATGTTGCACTACAAGGAATGGTTTAATCTTGCCAGTTTCCAACATTACACAACAAAACAACAGAAAGCACAGTGCTCTTGCTTTCCAGAATCTTTTCTTGAAAGTATCTGCCTCTGTAAGCTGTGAACTCATGGTGAGAAGCCCGAGGAGCAAGTCAGCAGTGCACTGAGTCACTGTCACCATCCTCTAAGGACTGGTGCTGGCAGCCAGTGCTGCCCTGCCCTCCCTTTCCCTTCCCTTCACTATCTGCCTCTTCTCCTTGACATCCCTTGGCCATGGATGGCTCAGCCATTGTGCCCAGAACAGATGCTGGGCAGGAGCTGAAGGGGAGAATGAGTGATGCCCTTTGCCCTGGGTACGTACTGGTTCTTCAAGCCGTTGAAGGATTTGTAAAGTTCCTCGTCGTTCCACTCATAAGTTGTGATCTTATTGTTGGACATCCCAGCAAAGGCGTATAGCAGGTGAGTGCACAGGCATGGGTCAATGTTGTCAGGCATGTATTTTGCCACACCAGGCCTATATTGGGCCCAGTTGGTGAAGTAACATGAGAGCACATAGGCAGAGCCTGCAGAGAAATGGAGGAGATGTGGTAGGGAGGGGGAAGAGCAGAGAGGACTCGTCTCTGAAATGCAGGAGGAGCAGGTGCCTCCCTGCACGAGGCCATGCTGCTCCCTACAAGCATCCTTCAGGCCACAGAGGAAGGGAACGGTGCCCTGGGCAGCCTGTGTAGGAGTTAGTACCTCCGTAAATGGGATCTGATCAGCAGCGATTGGGCAGTGTTTCCATGCAGGGTAAGGAGTCCCGAGAAGGTGAAGTAGGGTTGCTTATCCCTCTCAGAACTGCCTCTCCACGGGTAAGAATGGATTTCTTTCCTTCCTACTTTGTTTTGGGAGATGATTCAGTCCAGGAGCCTCTTGCACCCTTAAACTCCTGAATCTCAGGGTGGTTCTGAGTGCTGGGTCTCTTCCCCAAACTGCATCTTTCTGCTTTGCTGCCACGTAAGGCAGAAGAGAGGCAGAGGGGATCTGGGGAAGTGCCGGGGAGGTGGGAGGCTCTTTGTGTGTTTGCCGTGCCGCCTGTTTGAGCTGCCTTTGAAAGGTTCTGCAAAGCCCAGGCTAGTGCCTGCGCTCATGTTTCATTCAAGCTGAGCAGGAAGGGGCTGCTATGAGGAAGCTGCACTAAAGAAAGCAACATATTTGCACTTGAGATTGAGCAAGCCATGCTTGGTCAAGCTTTTGTCTTCAGAGACGCCATCGCTGAGTGCCTGCCTGTCTGTCCTTCCTCCTCCCCGTGAGTTGTAAAAGAAAGAGCTAGTGAGTCTGTTCCAGTTGCCTGCCTGTGCCGTAAGTGAGAAGGGTTTGGTAGGGTTGTGTTTGGGGTAGAGAGCACGTACCTATCTGGGCGTTCAGCAGGAGGACCAGACCTGTGAAGACAAAAGTGTGGGATTAGTCTTGGCACTGAGCAATACCAAACACTCATGCAGGGCTGGACTGAAGCCAGTACAACCTATACCCCATGTCATTGTTCTTTCTGAGAGAAGTGGAGATTGAAACAAAATTTCGTCAGAAGCATAGTCTGAATTTTCTTGAGATTTTTGTATTTTTTTAAAGAACACTCAAGAATCAGTTTTCTCAAGCATGGGTCAGTTGAGTGTTCATATGGAAATAGGAACATGTTGCGGAAAGATTCCCTGTAGAAACATGGAACAGAAAGTGAAGTCACAATGCAGTATTTGGAATTTTTGCTGTTTTTTTTTCATCAAAAAGCAATTTCCAATTTCATTTAACAACAAATTCTATTAATTTTTAAAATACAAAATATCCACATGGGTAGTACTGAAAAACCTGAGTACTTCTCCTGAAAGTAATTGCTCTGTCTTCTCTTTCACAGGAGAATGAAACATTTTAAACACTGAATACATTTTGTATAACCACCCAATATAGCAAAACATCCTCAAATACTCACCATAAAGGCGGGGGATGAAGTTAGGAAGGAGAACTTACCAGTAAGCAAAGTGAGCTTGGCCATCTTTGCGTTGGAGAAATTGCATGCAGCCTGTTTCTAGCTTATATACGCGTCTCTCATTCCATAACAGTCTTGTATCAATAAATATTATGAATGTTGGTAAAGATCAGTATCACCAAAAAAATGATACCAGTACAATGGGCCTTAACACTCCAGCTGGAGACACCACTGTTATCAGGCTGTGCCATGTCGTGGTGCTGAGAGGTAGTTGGAGAACAAGATTAGATGAAATGTTGTTGACAGCGACAGGCGTTGTGTCAACACTGGCGATTAGGCAGCGATAGATGGCTGAAGTGTTCAACCTTGCGCTGTCATTGTGCCTGCCCAGCGGGGGTAGGCACTGCCACACCAGAGGTGGTTTGCAAGGGTTTGGTCTCCTTGGCTGGGGCGGGCGGCGAGGCAGGACTGAGTAGGGACTGGGCTCACGGCAGTGGGACACAGGGACTGGGCTCACTTGCTGTAGGCAAATGGTTATTTGGGATCCAGTGGACAGAGTCCTCCCTTGCCCACACGATCCGAGCTTGTTGTCACTTGCCAGTGAGCACTTGCCAAGTGCCCGTGTCCTGCCTTAGGCTTCTCTGAAGCTCCGTAGAGTGAAATTACTCGAATATCTTTCATTCTATATCAGCTTGGCTGTGATCATTGTCCTGAAAGATGTTTCTAAAAAAGCAATGTATCTGTTTTAGCTTAAATGTTTGATGTTTTCAGGATGCAATATTGTTCTTCTAAGTAAACCTGAATGGAATTTTTTAAAAGGCAGTTTGAGTTGCTGCAATATTCCTCATCTTTGTATTACCTTCAGTCCAGGTGGAGACCCAAAGCTATTACTGTGTTGGAAGAGTGGTGTGATTTCTTTCCTTTTGCCCACTAGGCATGGTCAGGGCTAGTGCAAATGTTGGAGGAAAACACAGCGGGCAAACACAGAGCTGCTCTGCACTCAGGTGCTGCTTCATTCCTGTTAAGATGATGTGAAGGTGAATTCCCTGTAGGTCACCCAGACTTGGTTGACTGGGAGCCTGGAAAAGAGCCTCAAAGTTGCCCGTAGCACGTGCTGGTACTGAAGTCACTGACCTGCAGATTAAAATGCCTTAGACCGACCCTTGAGGTTTTGTACCTGCTCCAGATGAGATATGACAGATTATGAAAGAGACGACCATCTTCAAGGAGTAATTTTCCAGTGTTTTTCTTGTTTGATAAAGTAACACTGTAAATTTGGAATAGATGTGGAAAATCCCACCCTCCGTGACCTCTGGAGCCTTGCAGGTCTGTTATCTGTAGAACTAATTCTGTCTGCCCTTCAACAACTGGGGCTTTTTTCTGATGGATCATGGAAAGGAAACCCTGATTTTCATGGTGACTCCAGCTGAGCAGTGCCCAGCTGTTCCTTTCCTAGGATGAAACTCCAGGATATTTCCTTAAGCTTTTTCATCTTTTCAGGCCAAGAGGTTTGTCAGAGTCAGGCACGGCACTTGCACAGCCTTGCCGCCATGTCCTGGGAGATGTGTCTGACCACTGACTCTCAGCAAACTCCCTAAAAAGTGCTGTTTTCCCCAAAGGCCTTAGCCAGGCTGGCCCTGCCACCCTCGGTCTACACGAGCCGTTGCTCTAGAGCGGTTGTTTGTTCTCCCTGCCCTTGCTGTGGAGATTGGGCACGTCCCTGTGGAAGGCTCAGCTGGGGAGAAATGTAAAGGTGAATGCGATGGAGCCGTGTGTTTTGGAGAGCCCTGTCCCAACCCTTACGAGATCTGTGACTATCCAACACTCCGAGATTTGTCTGTGTTTTATTGTCAACCAGTCACAAACACTGAAAAGCTGACTGGTTTTCCAGCTCTTTCTCTGCCTTTCAAGCAGAATCTGTTTCTGAAAAGATGATCAGTGCAGGTAAGGAAAAACCCAGCCTACAAATTCCTGCAAGGCAGAAGCTCTGGAATCTCTCTTTTCTTACCTGTGGGTCTGGTAAGAAACTCGGGGCTGCTGTTGCTGCTATCACAAAGCTTCTTTTACTGAGGTGGATTCCCTGTTGTTTAAGAGCAGAACACTCTTACTGACTTTTAAGACACATTTGCTTCACAAGGGAAGGGCAGAAGCTCCTGAGCAGCAGGAGTGATCCCTCCCTCTTATTTCTCTTCTCTAAGAAGATGCTTTTCAAATGAACCTTTGCTGGGAGAGATGGAAGAACAATTTTGTGATTCTGCCCTCGGTCTGCCGCAGTGGGGCATGAGGGTCTCTTGCTGCTCAGGCCATGGAGAGGACTTTAGGGGCTGTAGGACACATCAGGACTTGGCCTGTGAATTGGTACGTGCTCAGCTGAACCGTTCCTGCAGCAGGGAGTAATTGATGCCTGACAGAGGGCCAGAGCAGAGGGCTGTGGGCCCTTTGAAGACTGTTCCACTTGGAAGGCAGCTTTTGCAGGAGGAGAATGCTTTTCATGGCCAAATGCACAGGCCTTGCTCTGTGTGGAGCCGGTGTCCTGGTGGCACCACTGTGCTCTTCCTCTGTGTGCTCTCTCATGGTGCAGCCTGATCTGCCCTGTCCCTTCCTCTGCTTTGTTTCCCTCTCACTAACTGCCCCACTGGCACATCAATAAAGCCCTAAAAAATGCCATCTTATGGTTGTTTCAAATACAACTTGTGCACTCAGGCTATTTCCTGAATTTAAGTGTAAGTATCACAAGAGAATCTTGGTGCATCAAAATATTAAGAGCAAGATGAGTTGAAACGAGAGTTGTTGCTTTTACAGAACACTTTATTTAATCATTCTTATTCCAGGCAATAAGATCAGAGGGATCATTTGCTGTAATAGGATTGGTATCTTCAAGCTGTAGCAGGAGCAATTAATATTGACAAAATTGTCATGCTAATTCTCAAAGAAATTTTGATGTTCAAACACTGGTTGGTGGAGAGTGGATGGCTTTGCCAGCACACAAACCGCTTCTGCCACAGTCACCTGAGTGGTTACGCCAACTCATGTTCACACTCCCAATCCACCTCCATGTTTAGGAGCTACATGAACTTGAGGACTGGATGGTTAATAGGCCTTGCACCCTGAAATGAAAGCAGGAGGTATGTTTCCTTTGGGAAGGGATTATATTTATAATGGACAATCCTCCCTGCCCTCTTTCCATGTTCCCATGAGGTTCTGACCACATCAGCTTTTTATAGCTGGTGTATTAAGCACAAACCCAATGTTACTTAAGTTACTCACTGCTGTTTTGCAGACCAAGACTGTTCTTCAGGGTGGTGATGAGGGGATATTTGCCCTGCTTGCAGAAAGTACCAGTGAAGTCATCCAGATCAATTGTCCAAACCATGGCACCTCCAAAGTTGTTCTTCTTCAGCCAGTCAGCCTGTTCAGTGCCAGGGAGAAATCCCAGTTAGTCCCAGGATGTGCTGGTGCAGAGCCTCCTGCCTTCTCATTAGCACAGCCACACACCCCAGCATACCTTGATGTTGAAGCTCTTGATGTTGTCATAGCCAACCCATTCGCTGCCTTTGTAAGCGTAGGGCACGTCCTGGGGGGCATCCCAAGCCTGGGTGGCTCCAGAGTCCAGGAAGGTGCAGATCTAGGAAAGCAGGGGAGAGAGGGAGAAGTTAGCAAGCGCCCCATAGAAAAGGGCAGTTGGAATATCACACGGATTAAAAATTCCATGCTGGAAAGTGGACAAGTGTTTGTGTTTTTCTTGTGGCCTAGTTGGGAGGGAACACATACCTCGTAGTAAGCCAAAAGCCCGGCCTGCTTTGTGTAAGGTCCAGCTGGCCCAGCTCCTGTTGTTGGTGCCCCAACAGCAGTGTTAGATGGGTTTTGGAGGTTGAAGTTATGTCCGTAGGTTGGGAATCCAACAAGGAGCTTCTCAGCCGGGGCACCATTGCTCTTCCAATAGTTCATCGCATAATCCTGTAAAACAACCACCACAGTTCAAGTCTGTGCCAGGATGCGTAGGCAGGAGGATGACTAGTGTGGCAGAGGCTCCCAAAATATACTTACAACACTGAGGTAGCTGTTACTCCCACCAAACAGAGGGCTGTTCTCTCCGGTGCGTCCATCCGAGGAGCTATAGAAGTCGTAAGTCATCACATGGATATAGTCCAGGTACCTGTGGAGAACATTGCACACGTCTGTCTCCTGGCCTGTTCAGTCACCCAGAGCTGATTGTTCCTCTAGCGCTGGCCGTTTACCCCACCACATCCCTGGCCACGTCCCCACTTTTTGGATGTCTGGGTTCTTCAACACTTGTCTCGAGCTGACCTTGGGAGTGCAGGGAGAGAGCAGAGGTCAAGGCAGAGTGGGAATTGCACCTGGAATTCTGGGAACCAAGAGATGTTCCCCAATGCCTGTGAGCAGCCTGTTGTTACGCTGCCTCCCGAGGTGTCCCCTTCCCAACCAAACAGGCACTACTCGTAGCGCTCTTGCCTATCACCAAGGAGTAGGGACCCCACATGCGATGAGGTTGAGTTCTGACAGATAATGGCTGAATTTCATTAATTGCTTGGAGGAAAAGCACTTAAGTGAGAGGAATGATGCTGGAGGGTTTGCTACTCACTTTCCAAGCTCAGCAATCTGGTAGCCAGCCTCGATGGTGGACACTCCTGCAGCAACAGCCGCAGTGATCATGAGACGGGGCTTGTTGACCTGTTTGGCTTCCTGCTCAAAGGCTGCCAGCATTTCCTGAGGGATGCCAAGAAACAGGTCTCACCATGAACTGTCTGGGCTGAGGCTTC